TTCAGAAGTCCAAGGAGGATGACTTTGGGACCCTGAAAGGCGAAAGTCTTGTTGAGGAGAGTGAGGACCCAAAAAAGAGGAACATTCTGAAGAGCCTGCGACGAACAGCCAAGGTGTGTATTATATCACCTTTTTCTCTTTTATATTAACGTATTCATAATACAGAGATTGTTTTTGTCTTTTATGAAAAATAAACGGACAGGTAAAAGAGCACCACTCACTGTCGAGTGAGTATGTTTAAACTGTGATAATGTCTTGGGGAGGATCTAGAATGTGAGGAACTCCTGATTTGCTGGATGGAGAACATTACATTTTGTTAGAAATCTACCAGTGCAACTTAGTATCAACATAAGTATCCCTGTTTGAGACACTCACATTCCTCTGTCTTTATTTCTCCACAGAAAACAAGACCAAAGCCCCGTCCAGCCATTCCCAAGCCCCCGGAGAGCATTTACTTTGGGGCCCCCCTAGTGAATGTGGTATCCCCAGACAGACCCATCCCACTCTTCATCGACAAGTGTGTCCGCTTTATTGAGACCACAGGTACGTTGTTTTATCTTTTGCCCATGTTGTGCTGTTCTGCATGTGATGTATGCAAAATCTGAAATACTAACGATGGTCATTTATCAGTTTTTATTCTTCACTACAGGTAAATATCTTTTATTAAATGAATGTTATTGAATAGTCACCTAAAGAAAAATGCTTATTGTTGGAACTCCGAAACCAGTGCACCTGTTCATGACCACATTGTGATTTGAAAGTAATTCAAGGGTTTATTCAGTTGAGTACTCCCCCACAAACTGCCAGCATCTGTATTGCCATGTCTGTTTGCAATAGGGCTAATGAAGTGTTTGTGCTTTGCTCATTTCCCACTGTGCCCCCCCACGTCTTCCCCTTTTTCTCTGCTGCGCTCTTTTTTCCTCAGGCCTGAATACAGAGGGGTTGTACCGTGTAAGCGGCAACAAGTCGGAGATGGAAAGCATGCAGAGGCAGTTTGAACAGGGTGAGCTGATCGTCAGACTTGTTTGAACCAGCTGTTTGACATGTAATTACGTGGCTGCCTAATCAAAACATAAACAGATACCAAAGGAAAGTGACATGCAAGTGATTGTTCAGTCCTGCTGATGGGCTTATTTCCTCTGATCCCTATAACTCTCTCATTCTCTCCTTGTGTAGACCACGGATTAGACCTGGTAGAGAAAGACTTCTCCATAAACACTGTGGCTGGAGCCCTGAAAAGCTTCTTCTCTGAGCTGCCTGAGCCCCTGGTGCCTTGTGCTCTGCAGGTGGACCTATTGGATGCTTTCAGTAAGCAAACACTGCTGGGCTGGGAGGGTCTTCACAAGCACATACAAAGATTATTTCTTTAGTAGGGAAGAGGGTAGGGAGGGTTTTGGCTGACCTGTTTTAGTGTTGAAAAGAATCATTTTCATGGTAGTGTATGAAGACATTTAAGTTTCAAATGGCTGTGTTTGGTGATGAGGTCTTGATTTTGACAATCTTAACTTCTCTCTTCTCTATGTGCAGAAATTAATGACCGAGAACAGAGGCTATATACCATGAAGGACGTCCTAAGGAGGTTCCCCAGGGAGAATTATGAGGTCTTCAAATATGTAGTGAGCCACTTACACAAGTAAGTTCCCTCTCCACTGTTTGAATCATGTTGTGAATGTGTTGCTCCTCTGTGGTAGACACCCATCTGTTTTGTTTTTCTGCACTGTATGATGAGAGCGGATAATTTGTTGTCTGTCTGTTTGTGTTTTCCCAGGGTGAGCCAGCTGAACAGGTTGAACTTGATGACCAGTGAAAACTTGTCCATCTGCTTCTGGCCCACCCTCATGAGGCCAGACTTCACCACTATGGATGCCCTGACCGCCACGCGCACCTACCAGACAATCATCGAGAGCTTCATCCACCAGTGTGCGTTCTTCTTCTACAACCAGCCCCTCCTCGACTCCCCCACCGGCCTAGCAGGCCTCCCTGCCTCACCCACCACCACCCTCAGCGGGAGCTCTGCCTACTCTTGTTACCGCTCCTCTCCCCCCCACACCACCTCACACTTCAGCCCCCTGCAGCAGTCCCCACCCACCACCCCCCAGTCTCCGCTTCAGTCCCTGCTCCCTCCCCTCCACCAGCACCCCCACCCCCACCATTCCCCTGCCGAACAAGAGACACTGTGAGAGGCGGTGAAACCACGTGTGCCCATGATGATGCTGGACCTTATCACCAACACACACACACACACACACAAACCTGTGCACACTATGTCTTTGATCATTGACAACCTAGGTTATGAAGAGATGAGATAGGAAGTGTATCAGAGACTTCCCTAACCTGCCATTTTTATCCACACTTATGTGCATCAGCGTACCGTTATCAGTGACTCTTCCTCTGCCCTCTGAGCCCCTCATCGCCTGGAATTTAAGGGTTTCAGGTCCGAAGAGGAGGACAGAGGTTGCTGTCACAGCGAGCATCTCTTCTGTCAACAGCCACCATTTATCCTACACTACCAACAAATAGAAACCTCTATGCCAAGCTGGAAGATTTGTGGCCACTGTGTTTTTATCTGTGTAAAACTGTTTTTTTTTTTTTTCTCATGAAAGTACTGCCACTGGATTTTTTTGAGACTGTTCCTCTGTAGGTCTTTTGGGCAGCAGTTTGCTCCATATAGCAGAGGTTCCTCTGTCTGCCTTTGGGGTTTCTCTCATCGGCTCTACTTGAGCGGTCAGCATGGGGGGGGGGAGGGAGGGGGGGGGTTACACATCCAGGGATGCACTTTAATGATCACTGTTGTTTTTCCCCTCAAAAGGGTTCTTTTTTGTTTTTTGTTGACATACTGTTTTTCTTGTGTTTTTAATTTCACAGCTCAAACAGCCATACCCATTGCCTTTACAGAGCTCTGGCAGATCAAACTTTGTTTACATCAAACTTGTTTTTGTATCCACAAACTTATCTGAAGCACTTTGTGATAGTGTAGTGTTAAATTTGAAGAAATGCCACATTGATTTATTGTCCATATTGTTTGTTCAGTGGCTGAATGTGGCATCAGTGCAGGTTTGTGAAAAAAAAAAATGAAGATCCTTTTGTAAAAACTTGCGTTCTTTAAGTTGATCAAGACGTACCATTTTAGGTCTGAATCCACCCATATTCCTCATTCATACAGCCATGTGGAAAATAGGTTTATTTAAGAGTTCGTCCTCTTTCTAGCTGTTGGTTGATCAGAGTGGATGTTTAGGGAAGATTGGTTTAATTTGACCAATGTAATATCAGAGAAAACGTTGCCTGCCATCAGTCAAGTGAAGGAGAAACATTTGAATGTGTAACGTAATCGTACTATAACTCGACTCTGCATTGCCACCTGCTGTCTATTGAAACCAAACGCTTGCAACGTGATAGGTTGCTGGATGTGTTTGCTGTGGCTGTCCATCAGCCCAGGCTCTTTGTCTTCATCTAATATTAAGGACCTTTAACTCAGAAGGTTTAGTATTTTCAACGCACTGTTACTGCTAGTCCTGCTATACAATACAATGACCAGTAGAAGTTAAATGTTTGTGGGTAGGACACATTCAGGAAGCACCACTGGCCGTTTACCTGCTCTAGTGAATTAGTTTAGTGCTGGTCCTCCCCTCTTCATGGATAGCAGTCAGCTGATTGTCAGTGGTAGCAGTGTTGATGAAGACCTGGTGATTTTACCCATTAAACTTATGACAGGGAGCACCGTCTTTTCAGTGGGAACAAGTAAAAATGGACCACTAGAGATTGAAGTTCAGGATGATTGAAGCTCTGTTCTTGTTGCAACGATGACCAGACAAGTTAGAGCTTTTGGTTGTCGTAGTATTTGGGATCATCACCTTCTGGTACTTTTTGGAATCGCAATGCTGTTGGAAGTCAGTCGTTTTATGTGTTTGTCCGATTAAACTGAGGGCTCTTTCAAACTGCTCATAGCTGTAACATAAAGACCGGCACAGAACCTACCAAGCAACTGTCCCACTATAACACAACTCCCGGGAGTATATAATCTTACCACATCACTTAACTTCTGACACAACCGTGGCAAATTTACCGTTCAATGAGGAAAAAAGTGAGTGCATACTACTCTATAATGGTTGTTTATTTGTATGTTGGGGAACACCACCCGTTAGTCAATGGTAGAAAACATTTCTAGTGTGTATTTCAATGATTAAAGGTCCATTTTTACAATTTTTGTGAATGGTTCAAGGCCACTTAAGTTTAGTGCATGATTAAAGTAAAATAAAAATAAAACGCACCAAGGGAGAAGGATGAAAGCCTCTCCCTGTTTTAAAACATGAAATTAGTACGTGAACAAAACGAATACTGAAGTGAAATAGCTGAAACGTGAAAGTTTATGTACTGTGCACCAAGAGCAAACCATGGAATTTATCTGACTGAGAAAAGTGTTTGAAGATGAAGGCCTTATGTGAACTGTATAATAGTTAATAAATTAAATTGTAAAATTGTCCTCAGCTTTCTGGTGGTGCATGTGTTTGTGTCTTACAAGTTGAGAGGTACCTCCATTCATTTTGAGTAATCCCACAAGGTTGAAATGAAAGTGGAAGTTCATTTTTCAAATTTCATTCTAATTTATGAGACCTCACAATATCAGTTGGATGAATATGGTCACAACAAAGGGGCCATACGACTCGAGAATATCAAGCATGTCGTGTTGGTGGTTAAAATGTTGAGTATTGTGTGAAAATCCGATGACAGTTTTTTAGAAAGCCCGGCTACTCCCTGCTGTCATCTGACAAAATATTAGACAGGCTACTATTATTATCCACATTTTTTCGCGGTGGAATAATGCAGCGTGGTTTAAACTATTCTCCTGATTGACAGGCATGTGTGTGTGTGGCTGCTGCTCCTCAAAGATAATCAGAGGCCCAAGCTAAATTAATGCAAGTTCTTTAACTCTGCTCTCAATGAAAGCATTCTTCTCATAAAGAAGCTTCATCCTACACAACATATATAACCTCTGCTGTAGTATTTAGGCAGTGGTGCAGGTGATTCCTAGAAACATCCATTATTCACAGCATGTTAGTCATGATCGACTGCACTCTTTTGGTAGAACACAGTATCTGTTGACCTGTGTGGAGAGGTGAGACTTTATAATAGTATGACGCCATCTTGTGGATGGTTAATATATACGACTATGAATTGAGCAACCCTCCAGCCTGAGTTTATAAACTATGTAGTTTATGAGAACGATAAGTGGGACATTTCCCAACAATATGCAACACATTTGACTCTTGATTTAAGTGTAATTGTAGCATATACCCTTTTCATTGATATTGTGAGTATTTTACCTGAATTTGCTATCTTCTGTGAGTTATTAGTATTGTTATTGACAATAGTGTTCAATTTATAACTTGATTATTCTATGTGGTTCTTGTCTTCCCCTGAAGTCCTCTGAGAGCACAATGTTGTAGCCCAGAACGAGGCCTCCAAACATACAAAGTCTCGTTCACTTTAAGTCAGTATGATGGACACGTTTACACATCTATCCAGACTAGCGTATGCTCTCATTAGATCGTTCTCATAATGGTTTGGCCATTTTCATACCGGATGAATATTTACATTTTCAGATTATATTTAAATCTCAATTCAAATCTCAACATCAGCTGAGTATCGACACCAAAAACGTTACTCTGTTTTTGGATTTAATTTTGGTTATATTAATATCAACCTGCTACAGGTCGTCCAGTGATACTCCAAGCACTTCACCCCGTCTCGTCCTGTCTCCTCTCGTCATGGTCCTGCCAGCATGAGAACTGCTTTAGCTGTCTTTTTTTTCATATTCAGGTGATATGCAAACAAACCTGTTGAGAATGACAGAGGCCGTGACGTATGAAAGATAGCTTTATTGCACAAGGTGTTAGAATGATCTTTTTAGTTTTTGTTTTCTTTTCATAGAAAATGTACTTTTGAACACAAGCAATTGCTATAACAAGCAACTCAAACAAATGTTTGGGATACCCTCAACATTTTTTTTTTTTTGTTTTGTTTTGTTTTTGATTTTCATACATTGTTTCCTTCAGTTTTTCCCTTTTAGCAAGCATGCAATGATTTTTTGAGGATGAACAAAATACAAAATAATGATAATAAAAAAAGTAAATAGGACAAATGACAACAGCAAAAGACCTTTAAAAAAAGAATAAAAATTCAACAAATTAGTATCAAAAACATAAAGGGAAAGAAAAAAATGTTTTTTGCCCATTTCAGAAGTAAAATATTTTATTTTTGATACTATTTCAATTTTGAAATTGGGGCATTCAACCCTGATGTGTCCCCTGATTTATTCTGACGAAAATAGCTCTTCATACAAAACTGTGTTTTTATGTACAAGACTTAATCTATAAACAACACTGACAACGGTAGAGATGATGGATCTAGCATGTTCCGGGTGGTGAATTTTAACTTTAATTTATCTGAACGGGGGGGAAAAGGACGGGAGCCGGAATGATTCAGGTTTGCAGACCGACTCCAGTCCAGTATATACACAACAGTAAGTTTGTGTGACCAAAAGAGCTACGAGTCCCTGATTTCACTTGGCTGAACTGGTTTTAGCCACAGGTCACATACCTCACTACCAAAATTTTGACAAAACCCCAAACAAATTAAAATGAATATCATGAATCAAAATCAACGGACCAACAGACACCCCCTCCCCTAAACGAACAAACAAATAAAGTACATGGATAAATAAATATAAAGCACAAAACGCTATCATGGAGACATTCCAAAAGGTTCTTGTGTGAATGTACATCAGAGCAAGATGGAGGGGTATGGAGATAAAGAAAGCAGGGCATATACAGTAATTCAGACAGGGCAACAACAAAGATATCAATTGAGTGAACATTATATAATTTTCAAAACTGAACTCCCTGACATATAACATCGCTCAACATTATATTATTTTACTTCATTCACATCATGACTGGGATTCTTTCAGCTACTTGTACGTTTCCTTGAAGAGCGAAGCTCGGCTGGGTGACACCAAGGCAGGCTGGGAAGTTGGTAGGATGTGTTACTGAAGCCGTGATTCGACATCATGACTCATGTCTGCAACCACTCTCCCAACATAAAACTTATTTGTGGATCTTCTGTGACACTTATTTCTTCTTTTTTTTTTTAACCAACCGCTCAGGCTTTCGAGAAGCTCAACAGAGTCAAAGAGCCTGTATTCTCAAAAGCAGACTTAAATAATATGACGGAAGGCTTTCTGCCATGATTGTTTCCGCCGAACACACGTACACAGCAAAGTAGGTTTTTATTTGTTCACCCAGTCAGCCTGCCTTTTCAGGAACTGAAACTAAAACTAAGTATATCTTGCTTTCCCCATCTTGGAAAGGGCCACTCTCTGTCCACACAGGAGCGAAACACTCTTCTGTTAGTCGGTCTACATACAGCAACATACAGAACATCCCGTATATATACTAAACTTTTTTCTTTCTTTAGTCCAACCTTCTTTTTTTTTTAAAATTTGGGTTGAGCGATTGTCTCATTCTTGAATTTGACATTAACATTAAATTGCTGTATATACTACTAAACTATTGTAGTACATACAATTTATACTTTGTCATAATTTCACTTAAATGTCAATAATATACCTACATAGAAATATATATGTAAATTCTTTATAATACCAAATATTCTCTATTTGTAATGTGAGAACTTATAGCTGGTTCATTTGGGTTGTCGTGATTTGTTTAAAAAGTTAGACACTGTTCAGCTGGAGAGAGATGTGTGGAGAATATTATTGTGATAGACATTTTTATCCTTCTTGGAAGTGAACCTGAATCATTTGTTTTGGAATCACCATTAAGAGAAAATCTGCCAATAGCTATTTGGGACTTTTAAGAGACACATAGAGGGTGAAAGATACAGTAAGAATAGGGAACTTAACTGGAAGTCCTGCAAGTTGACAATAATACTCAAACTATGGAGGACAGTATGTGTGTGCATATGAGAGACAGGATGGCCACACAGCTTCATACTGGCTATCGTAGTCTTCATCATCATAAACACAGAGCTTTTAGCTCCTCAATTATAGTCAATATTTTCAAATGACCACAGAATCACTTCCTGTTTTTTTTTGTTGCTGTGCGACTCCGCGAGGACTGAGCGGAGCAGAGCACCAGCCGGCTGGAACTGTTAGTTGGAGTTAGTACTTCTTTTATAGAGTCCCAGGTGAACATGAAAAGCAGGGTTAGCTGGGTCTCTGTCTGGGAGAACACCTATCCCGAGGAAAATTAGAATGCTGGGCAGTTCACCATTAGTTGGGTTTAAAGAAAGATGGTTGCATGCCCTTTCTAGGCCCAGACCGAAGAGCACCAGAGGGGGGCTGGCTGAGGAGTGCGATAGCAATGCAAGTCTGTGCAGGAGGACGGACTACACCAGTGTGTACGACTTGGAGTAGGCCCCCACACTCTGTTTCTGCAGTCTCCCCAGCGCAGAAGAGCTGCTCTCTAGCAGCGAGTCTCTGGAGCCCCCCACCTTGTTACTGTTGGTGGGGTTGCTGCCCGTGCTGGAAGTGGAAGCAGTTGCTGCAGTGTTGGAGCTGGGCATGGTGAGAGTCCTTTGGGGCAAGGTGGCGGTGCCCGAGCTCGCGCCCAAGCTGGCCAGCCCAGAATGGCCCAGCGTCAGAACCTGCTGCTTGGCAGGGTCTAGAGTCTTGTGACGGCCCTGGGTGTGATACGCCCGCTGCGTCAGGCTGCGGATTGAGGCTTCCCGCGGTGGCACAGCTGGGCACGGGTCATGCAGCTCCCCTTGCTTGCGGAAGAATGGGTCCGTCTTCATGTATAGGGGTAGGTTGCAGAATTCACCTGAGAGAGGCGAGAGAAGAGACAGGACAAGAGCATACAGTGAGGTGATTTTGAATTTTATGCCATTGTGTCCATTGCTGAAATGAATTATTTCCAAATGCATATGAATAAATATGGCCCTGGCACTTTTCTTACTACAATAGAACTCATGACTTGGTGGTTTTGATTTGGGATTGATTTGTTTGCAGAAAAACGATGCCTCTAATCGGGCCAGGAAACTTCAACATGACCACTTGGTTTTTGATTCAACTTGGATCATTCCTAGTAACAGTGTGGGATTTACCCGTTTGTTATCCACATTATTGTGGGGGAAAAAAAAAACCAAAAACCTTTCTTTGGTGTGTCAGCTTCCCAACACCAACTCCCAGAGCGTGCAGTCCATTCCCACTATGTACTTATATATAGTTTTAGTAATTTTTTATTTGTTTAGTGAAATCTCTTTGGATTCTATTACAGCATTGTTGTTGTGACTTTTTGTTGCTCTTCTGTCAAGGAAAGACCTTTTCCCATCATTTTGAAGTCACTGTAAATAAAATTCCTTGTCTTGGTTTAGGAGAAAAAGCAAGTATTCATGCATCTCTTTGTACTTACTTTTGTTAGCGCGGTGGGGAATGGGCACAGCCACATTTTTACCGCGGTCATAGTCCTGCGGTTTGGGCGGTGAGGCAGTGAAGCGGCAGATGCCTGGTTCGGACGGCGTGCTGAGGGAGGTCATGCTGTCTGCCGGGTCGTTGGTGCCTGTGGTCATCTGGTCGGACGAGCTATCGGAGATGAAGCACTCTGTGATGGTGAACTTGGCATGCTGCAGGTGCTCCTCCAGCTTGGCGTGCTCGTAGGCCCTCGCCAGCTCCTCATAAGTGGAGGAGGCGCTCTCTGTCGACACCATACTGTTGCGACCCTTATCTGGAAAAACATACATAAAAACACATACATTTTATATAATAACTGTGGCAACAATTGTTACTTAGCTGGTTTGATTGATTAAAAAAACATCTATTTAGAAAAGGTTGACCTGAAAATGTTAGTCTGTTTTAGGGAAAACTGTGGGTTGGGAGCTCATGATTTATGAATTTTGGGGAGTGGGCAAACTATATATGGTTTGGTAATTTTAATTATTATGATTCGTTTCACTCTCTTTTCTGTTTTAGAGTACCTTGTTTCTTTGTAATAGCGTTACTGGTAGTACTAGGCAGTGTTAGGTAGAATAGAATAGATTTTCTCCATTCTTTGATTTGGTAATTTGAGAATGCATGTTATGGTGTATATACTGTTCATATGCTGCTGGATTGGATTCGACTTTGATGTTGAATCTTAACATTTTTAAAAATATTTTCATAAAAGTTCTGCTACTTGATGTAAAAACGGTAATAACATAAAAGCAATAGCAGTACATACGAGTTGCAGTGTCATTGTATCATGGGTGCGGGCTGGGATTGACCCACCTGTGTCTTGTGACAGACTAGCGCTGTAGCTGTCACTCTCGGTGGCGGTGATGCCGTGAGAGCCCATCGTCCGCCAGTCGGACGTCAGAGTTCGCGCCGAGGCCGTCGACTGGCTCTGACTCGGTCGGCTGAGGGTCCACTGGCTGGAGTATCTGTTCCTGGAGCTGTGGGCTGATTTTATACTCTTCCTGGACACGGGGTCTGAGAGAGGTCACGGTGATCAAAGAACAGCTTGGTAGTACAAAGACTGTGTATCCATATATTGATTGTCAAGACAACCACATACTGTCTTTACTGTCTGAAGTGCTATTCAATACGAGATCGAAGCTTTCACCTGGATTTAGCTGCTCAACCTATTTCATGTGCTGTCACTGTAAGAGCTGTGAAATGTAATGCAATAAGCTTGATTTGCAAAAAAAAAAAAAAAAAAAAAAAAAAAAAACTCACTTGTGCCTGGGCGGATGTCCGACATGTCAATCAAAGGCCCTGAGTTCTGGATAAGGGCTTGATGGTGCAGAGACACGCCGGTACAGAAGTTCTGCGGATTCACTGATTGGCTGAACTCCGTGTCTGTCACTGGCACCGCTGCCTTGTCCTCCCCTGTTGAAAGCAAAAGATGAGGACATACAACTAAATGTTAATGATCTCACAGAAGATACTAGAACATGCGTGATGCAGTGATGCATTAGTTTATGCTGTTGTTAAGTGCAGCCACATGCCTATCTGTTTGATGCCTTCCTTGTCCTCAATGAGTAGCTGAACACGAGGGATGTCAATGTGGAGCCTTGGTCCTTGAGGAGGGCCCTTCACCGGAGTGTCTATGCTGCGATTGTTCTTGCTGCACACACACACGTGGAAATAACACATAGTTTTCCAAAGGTTGACCGATGTGAAATATTACATCCTTTACACAGTAGGCATAAAAACTATGCCCGTAAAACGCTGGCTCTTACCTGATAAGCATCTCAGCGAGGCTCTTAGCATCTATAAGAAGACAATATCTTAATTAGATTATAGCTGGCTATGAAGATAATTGTTTCAACTCGTCACTCTTTGTTACATTAATTAATGACACACAATAATAATGATCTCTCTCCAAACTCTCGCTTTCTTTCTCTCTCACCCCTAAGACGCTTAAGCCTCTTCTCTTTGCGTTTCTTGCGGATAATGAAGAGCAAAGCAACACCCAGAGTGACGAGGATGACCGGAGAGCCGATGGAGAACAGCTTCTTCACATCATCCCCTTCTCCACGAGCTGATTTGATGGGAGGGATTGTACCTGTGGAGAGAAGGGCAATGAGAAAAATATTTAGGAAAGAAAATTCAGTGCACGTGGCGCTCAAATCGGAAAAGATGTAGGATACACTCACTGCCATCGTAGTCAGTGGTGGCAAACTGGGAGCTCTGGTTGCCACACCCAGCACTGTTGCACGCCTTCATTTTGAGCTCGTACCAGGTGGCCTCACGCAGCTCACTGAGGAAGAGCTGAGTGGTGGAGTTGGCCTTGAGGCTCTGCCAGGCCCAGGTACCTTTGGGTCTAAAGTCCAGCATCATGTCAGTGATGGGGCAGCCGCCGCTGGTCCAGCCCTGCAGGTTGAGACCTGCATGAGTGGAGTTGATGTGGGTGAGCAGCGGCTGGTCCTTATTGAACACTGGTTCTGTAGAGAAGAGTGGCAGACACAGAACAACGGCAGGTTAGAAAGATGGTGGTAATGCCAACAAAGCAATATTAAGAAAACAGGCAACAAATTCTCTCCACATAAAGCATTTCTTTTGCACAAACTATGTGACAATTATACATGTTTTTAATATCCGCGATCTGCGAGGGGCAGAAATTCATATTGCCATAAAACAACGTTAAATAGGATAGACAGCAAAAGCCAAAAAACGAAAAGCGAAGACAACTTTATTCTGTTTTGAGGCCAGAGTTATAGTCTGTTCACTTGTGTCCTGCTTGTGTTCTGCAACACTTTTGCTTCCAACCCTCACCTCTTCCATGTGTCTTTGCCTCAATGATCTCACTGATGCGCCCTGAGCCCACGCTGTTCTTGGCCGCCAACTTGACCTTGTACCAGGTTCCACAGCGCAGATTGTCCAGCCTGAAGGAACGTTCACTGGAGCTGATGAACACATCCCTCCACTCCTCTGTGTTGTCCACAGAATACTGCAGCACAAATCCTGCAGAATCACACAACACGTCAAGTCATTTAGAGCAACTGATATAAATCCAAAAAATTAAAGACTGTGGAGAGTCCTTGCTGCTGCTACCTCTGTTGGACACCAGGGGGCAACAATAAGCTGCAATCAGTTGTAGTTTGACTACTACTTGCACAGAAACATTGTTTACCCTGTTATTTGCAGATTTAGAACAACTGATAGCAAGAGGGTGAAGCGCATTGAAAGGATGTGTTGTCATGAGACAGCTGCAAGGTGGGCAGGTGTTGCTCTGTTCACAGAAAGTCTTACCCCTGATGGAGCTCCCCCCGTTGTCCCCAGGGATCCAAGCCAGGGTGATGGAGGAGGTGGAGGTAGTGGAGACGGTCAGGCGAGGCTGATCAGGAGGAACTGGATGTACACACAGAGACAGTGACTCAACAGCAGAGCAGAAACATCACAAAGGAAACACGTCCTCCGCTGGAGTTCCACTCAGAGACATCTTCTGTTTCCTCTTACCTTGCACCACCAGATTGACTATGATGGTGTCGAAGCCCAGCGTGTTGGTGGCAGTGCAGGTGTAGTACCCAGAATCCTCCGCTTTGACTGAACGTAGCACCAATGTGCCGTTGGATAAGATCTGCCGTTGACTGTCAGCTGTCACCGGAATGGCAGAGTCCTCACTGACAAAGTACAGACAGGTTACAGATGTTAATCTCGTTCCAGAAGTAAGTGATTTTGTTTTTCTCTCACATGCAGCAGTGTCTGTCTGTGTGAGTCATGATGCTGACATATAAGTGGCGTTAGATGAGCTCTGACCTGTCTTTGGTCCATTTAATTGTGGGGGCGGGTTCTCCTACTGAGCTGCAGGGCAGACGCACTTCCTTCTTCCAGGGTGTGGTCACCGTTCCCCCAAAGGAAAGGATCTTACCCGGGACTGCACACACAAAAAAGTCATGAATCTTTTGACTACACCAAGACAAAACAAAAACTGCTCCAGCATCTCTCACACAAATATGTCTTTCTTCATATTTTCAGAAGTCTAACTGCATGTCTCTGCTGAATGAGTGGCCCAGTTGTCCTGAGGGGAAAGGCCTTTACTCACTTCTAAGGGAATAAAAAGCTGTAGCGTAGTGTTTTAGTGTAGCCCCCCCTCTAACCTCTCAGTTACAGTCTATCTTTTCTCCATAGATCCTCCTCTCTATTGATTCTCGCCTGCTACCTCTCTCCCCAAGGGTCATTTTACTGGATAGGCCCTGTTCATCACCACATAATTAACAACAGCGTTTCTTGCAAAATAGCCACTACTTAATCAATACTACGGCTGTCAATCCATAACAGAGAGAGCAGGACAGAGAGAGGAGGAGAGAGGGTGATGAGAGAGATTCGTGTACAGGAGATCATGTTGCCGTTTCATAGCCATCTCTAGAGCGCTCTCCCTCATAACCTTTACAGAAATCCCTTTACCCTTCTCCTCCACTACAGGCTCGCCCGAAGGACCCACCTTTCCCAGCAGGCTCCACTGTGACCTTTGAGCTGATGTTGCCACGGCCAGCAGTTGTCACGGCTGCAGACCAGATGTGGTATTGTTTACCACGGGTAAGGTGTGTGATGCGGTAGAAGAGCATCTCTGGGTTGGCCTCGTACTCACTGGGCGCCTGGGACAGAGGGCATGGGATGTCATGTTAGCAAAGTGTGATGAGACAGTGACACGACAGACTTCATGGCCGCTCTCGGACGAAAGAAGTGTTGACGGCTCATACCTCCCAAATGGGTATCGAAGGACAACACTTTCTCATTTCAAGTCTTAATTTTCTTGGGAACAAAAGAAGTGAACTTTTAAATAGATCAGATATCGGCACAGCTTGCCTTCTTAAACAGATAAAATGATGAGGCTGACATGTCTAGTGTGTGGGGACAGGTGTTTCAATTGACAGAGTTTACAGGGCATTTAACACTAACACAGACATAGAGGAAATAGAGATTTACAAAGATCGAATGGGAAATTCCTGTGTGCTATATTGACAGGGATCCATTACTGTAATTTCATGTAACTCTGATATGTATTCATATTCCTTATGAATTGTGTTATTGCTTAAATTAATTTAGGCATCCAGCTGTTCTCCAATTAGTTATTTCTCTTGTTTGTATTTGCTGGTTCTTGGTATAGGGACCTGTCTTTGTCAAATATGAATGACCTCTCGAAGGACTAATGTAAATTTCCCTGTGAACTCAATGCTTTGAAAAAGTCAGAAGATTGCTGGCAAACATCCTGAAGCAGGCAAGAAACCTTAATTGGTAGACTTTTGACAGTCTTGAGTGAAACGATGACGAATGGAAGTGTCATTGTGATGGCAGCGATTTGCACGTTGATGAATTTATTTACCTTTGACACACAAGTTTAATGTTTTGAGAACGTGACATCCTTTTGAAGGACACGATAAGTGCTGTGCTACACAGTGCAAATGAATGTGGTGATTGCATTTCATGTTTTGAGAATCGTAACAGTGTTTCAGGACCGTTACAATTAAGTATTAATTACTAAAGTGTAAGATAAATAAATGAAATAAAAACATGCATCAAGATTAAGTGCATGGATTTCCTCATTTGTTTTAGTTTTTTTTGGACAAGACAGAATGGAACAGATCACTCCAAATAAATTTGACACAAATTAAATTATATCACCTCACATAGGCAGATTTATTAACTGGGTTAAGAAAATTAATACTTCAGGCCTCAGTGCTGGATTAAACTGTGTTCCTGTGGATATGTTTCCAACAAACACATCTTTGAGAAAATATTCACACATACACTTGCAGGCACAAAAACACACACACACACACACACACACACACACACACACACACACACACA